TTAGCTAAAGGTTTGGGTAGTGTATATTTTATGTTTTGCAGTACTCAAGGTGTTACAGTTACTCAACTCTGCCATGAGAGTGCAAAAGCAACCACACAGAGTCTTATAATGGAAGAGCATGGCTGTGTTCCAGAAACAATTTACTGATGGACATTGAAAAGTTAATTTCCTATAATTTTCATATATCACAAAATATTCTTTCTTTCAACTCTGTAAATGTTATTTGCAGTTTGAAGTCTACACTAAAGGCAAATAAAGCTAGATTTTATCTGTGGATTGTGGTTTATCAATTCCCATACAAGTAATGCCATAAACTTTTTAACACCCAGGATGGTGTCTCATCTGACTTTGTATCCACAGTGCTTGGTTCAGTATCAAACTTACAGTAGATGTTTAATAAAGACTTGTTGAATAAATAAAACTTGCCCAAGTAGTAGCCAAGTGGTGGTGTTGGGATCCAGGCCTGATTGGAGTTCAGCTGACAGTGTGATGTCACACTCTCCACTCTGTGGCAGACCCTACCAGTGATAAAGAATACTCAGAGAAAGACATTTAAAAAAGCAATTCTAACACCTTGATAGTGGGCCTGGATGAACCCTGTACTTTCTATTATTAGTTGCTATCAATCTACTGTGCATCTTTCCCACCACTATTATATAATTTGGTCCTATTGACTGTTGGTGCAGTGTTTAAAATAGTTCATGTTTTGGCCATTTCAGTTCTATAAAATAATCAACTGTCATCAGACCATTTCAGCTTTGGAATGAGAAGCCCCCAGAACTTTTAAGTAATGTATGTTCTTAGAGCATCACAGCTCTGGCTTCCAAACGCTATCAATTAGAACCCCAATTATTGTCAGGAAACTTTTTCTGTATAGTCTTATGCATACTTGACTCTCTTCTGTCACTTCCTTTTAACAGTTAGAACAGAAAGACCCTAAAGAACATAGAACTCCAGCATATAGGCATTCCCTATGACTTCACTGGGATGTGGTTATCAGGCTATCACATCAGAAGCTTGGAGACAGGGCAGGACAGAGCAAGGAAGGCTGACCCTCACATCTTTGAAGGCCAGCAGCCCAACCCCAAATAGGACACTAGGGCCAGGGGAAGAAAAGCAACACAACTAGGTAGCCATTTCATAAGAAAAAGAGGCTGATGATTAGTAACTCCAATCAATGGTGGAAAATTCACTTAGTTTTATTTTAGCAATTTCAGAGCTTGAATATGAGACTGTTACAGAAGAAACAAAATATAGCTGATCAGAATACTGTCAAAAGAAAAAGCTATATAGGACAAAAACTTTGGAATTAGAATCAGAAGATGTGACTTCCAACTATCAGTAAGACTACTTGACCTGCGTGTTCTGAATAAATCTCAGTTTATTAACCTATTTAAATGATCAGATTGAACTGAGTCCTCATTGAATGTTGATCTGAACACTCACATTTCTAAATCTTTTTGAGTTTTAACATTTATAAATTCAAAACTGTCTTAGAACTAAAACTACAAGTTGTTTCAGCCTCAGACAAGTTTGGTTCCTGATCAAAGAGTGAGAATAAATTCATAATTCAAATTTACTGGTTATATAGGGGTAATAAGCCAGTTGATATGCCTGTTTCTAAGTGACTACTCTTTCCTGCCCTCCTTTCTCAGCTGTCACTCTCCTGTTGTGAGATAGGTAGAACACGACAATGTCTTTCATTCCTCTTAGAGGCTATACTGTTTCGGTCTACGTCAGAACATTTTATACCTCCACCACTTTCTTCACATGTAGAAAACAAGAAACAATTTCAAACAAAATTTTCCCTATAGGTTTGCAACCCTGACCAATGTTACAGCTGAATGTAGACAGGGGTCACACTTAAAAATACAGTGTGTGGAGGGAAGGGACCATAAATCTTCACTGCTGAATGGCTTCACTCTCCTGCTCAATGCATGTGGCATCTCAGCGACCAGAGCGTGCCAAAGGAAATTTTTACCTAGGCAGTTCATCAGTAATGTTATTTGATAAGCTTTTATTTTTATGTAGCCCCAAAGAAAGTACATTATGCAAACAAAACCACTGGGTGGGTTGTATTTTGTGTTTGAGTGAAGTGTTAGATAGCTACACCAGCCCTGGGGTGGGTTGACCGCCTTTCTGTTTAGCAGCGAGAGTGGATAGGAACCCAGCCAGAAAGTCCTGATTTCAGGGTGAGATAGAGAGGTCAAGCTCCCAGTTCTCACATAGGTTGCCTTCTTAACTGTGTCTCTCAAGACAGTAAGCCAAACACTGGGTGCTGTTATGTGTAGAAATTCCTGTTTTGGTTTATGCCCAGCTATCCTGTTTCACAGACAGGAGTAGGTGGTCACACGTTGAAGGAGTAGACAGAGTCGAACAATCCCAGCTTACACGCCGATTGATGCCTCTCCGATAGTCTCAGACCTGACACATTAACGCCCTCCTATTTTCCCCCTACCCAGGCTGCTTGAAGGACCTTCCTCGGTAGTGCATTGCGCCAACACAAACAAGGCATCAAATTGTCCTCATACACGTGCTAGATCCGCCTTTACACTGCAATTTCCTCGAGGTCTCCTTTGCACAGGCACTGCAGCACCGTACCTGCAATGTTACTGTTATCGGAGGGGTCCCAGAACGTGCAACCTGATGATTAGAGAATGAATGAACCATCCATGGCCGATCCTCTCCTCTCCTTCCTATGGGGAGCCACGACCTTAAGGCATCTAACCTCTGGGAAAGCGTTGGGGACTTGGAAGGCAAAGGCCTGGACAGGAGGTGGAGAACCGCAAAAGGGTGAAAGAGGCAGGAGGCCCGGCCCACCGCAACTGGACACTAGG